CAACCTAATAACAGCAGCTTCTTATGGACAAAAGGAAATTAGCTGTTTCCACATATTTCACATGAGCAGCAGAATAATCACGTAAGATGCGTGAAAACATTCTCGAGGTCTCACACCTTATAAGAAGGTCAGAAATGAAAATGAGTTTGATGGGTCTCTTATAAAGGTCCAGTCCCGCTTTTGTTAAAGTCCATAGCTAGAGCCCCGGGGATTGAGTGCCTTTCTGCACATCCCAGACACACTGGGCACTGGGGGCTTGAGCCAAAGGCTGTTGAAAGCACTGGAAAGACTCTCCAGGGGCTGTGAATGGAAGCTGTGGGTTCTCAGTACGGCTGAAATCTCAGGCCACGTATTTAGGTGGCTGAACAGGAATTGAAGGGCCCACTTTTAAAAATGTTGGCCTTTCTTTTGGGACAGTTTGTAGAATCCCACAGATCTAAAAGGATATTAACATCATAAACAGAAAAATCATCTGGTGTGATGTTTCCATCCCATTATCTCTTACCTACTGGTTAATATCAGTGAAATACAGACAGATGACTGTGTTAATTCCTACCACTTCTCAGTGATGGATATAGTTAAAAAAGTAAAAGGATTACAGATCTTTTCTTCTGGGGTGCGCACACCAGCTCTTGCATGTGTGCGTGACTCCCATTGGAGCTAATTATGCTTTATACCTATCCAAGCCTATAATCATTTATTGCCAGATGGCATCCATCATGCATTGTTATTGAAATGCATAAATAAGGAAGGGATTGATTTCGCAAAGCCACGCTCCCACGAGCAATTCTCTTGCACATAACTTACCCCATTGGCTCCAGTTGAAGGGCTTTGGGATTGGACCCTAGCCCAGCATCTAAAGAACCGCATCCCTGCCCACTTCAAAGGGATATTGGATGCCAAGGTCAAACACAGCTAAAAAAAGAGAGACCTGGTGGAATTGAGCGATGCATATCAGTAGCTCTGGGAACCCCTGAACAGGTGCTGGGCAGTTAGCACATGTGTTCATCTCCTTCTATATCCTGGTGGCTCACTCATATTTTCTCATCTGGCATGCATGGCTTTCTCCTGTTCAGTCATGTTTAACACTCAGGAGGAGATGCGCAATGGGATCCTGACACGAGAACCGGTTGGTATGAATACATGTATATATTATTCTTATTATTGTTATTGTTATTATTATGTATTATTATTACCCATTGCTGCTGATTTTATTGTCTGGCTGTGAATCTCTCCTACTGTTTGCAGTGTGTACTGTACCTTGAAGTTTGATGACACCGCAAAGAACGCTGCACCGTTTGCATATCTGAATTTTTCTCCAGATTATTTCAAAAGAAGCGACTGCCTATAGATCACATTTATAAGTGTCCGCTCTCTTAGCTTGACCATGACAGCAGATGCTGTCTCTGTGTAATTAGTTTAAAACCACATTGGAATGGATATATGATGCATTTGCTCACTTGGCCTTTGATAGCCTACAGGATGAGGCCCCAGCTGCAAATGAAAAGCCTTCCAGAGCAGTACGGCTTTCAGGTCCATCAAAGGGTCCGAGTTGTAATGAGCTGTAGAGGATTTCACATAGCTGTGTATTTTGCAAAAGATATAATACACCATAAGGGGAGAGAAGGTGATTTTCATACCTTTACATGGAATAGGGAAGGATGGGAAAGAGTCAATGCATTGCCATAGATTTCATGGCATCCAGTAAAAGCTTTTAAAAATTGCAAACCGATAGGCTCCTTGACTGGGTGGGGTTCCCCACCATAGATCAGTGGCTTTGCCCGTCTCTTCTCTAGGCCCGCTACATCTTGCTAGCGTCACACACTATCTCCCTCTCTCTTTCGCTCTCCCTCCTCCCCAAATAACCTCTGTTTCTCCCTTCCCCCTTTTCCGCCCACTCACCTTGTCCAATCTTGCCAACCTCAGGGATCCTCTCTCTGCTGTCATCCGCCAATACCCCCATATTCCTGCCCATTCCTCGCTCTTGTTCCTCCTCAGTGCTACCGATTGTGCCTCTTTCAGATTCTGATGCTTTTCTTGCACAAATGCTGCTGGGAGTAATAGCAAATAACCAGGTTTCCGGGTGCATTCAACTGGGCAGCTGTTGGTGTTTCAGTGCCATCCTCTGGGAGTCTCAGCACCCCTGGAAGTGTAAAGGTGTCCCAGCCATGAAAACAAGGAGTCTATTAAAAAGCTCAGTCTCGGGAGTCCCTGCTGAAATGTACAGTGGATTTATCTTTTACTCAAATGCCAAACCGCCCTCCCTAGTTTCCAGGACTGGTGCTGCTAGTTTGGCAGAAGAGGTTCCAGCATTAGGGTAAACAAGAGGTGAAAGCTGAATATTTTAAAATCCTTCTACCCTCAAATTTAGCAGACGACAGGGCCTTGAACGCTTTTTTGTCAGAGACTTTGGAAGGATCCCCCTGCAGAACCTCTGCATACATACCGTAAACCAGCACATGCAGAGGGAGAGAACACATACCGAGCCATGAACAGGACTGTGGCTCCTTTCAAAGCTATTTGATGGGGGAACACCAACTCCTGGTAGAAATGAATGGCAAAATACCTCAGCCCGTACATCAAAAGATGTCCTCTAGGATCAGAAGATCTCACGTGCCAAACTACAGACAAAGCTAAAGATGCTCCATCAACAGTGTTACTTTGGGCAAACTCTTTCAGAAGATGGAGGGTAGGGTTTTCTGAAGCCCTCAGTGTTGGCCTATCTCTGCTCTCATTGAAGTCAAGGATAATATGCCCCATGACTTCCGTGGAACCAGAGCTTACTCAGCACTGAGTCCGTCCCCCGCCCCGCCGCCATGTTTTTTCAACAGGACGGAAGTCCTGGAGACTTATCTCCCCTTGACTGTATGCCCCACTTTTCCCTTAGTTTTTTTTATTCACAGATGGCCCAGAATCAGCTGGAGAAAGAACATTCCCTTCAGAGCAGCAGGGATGGCTGGCATCCAAGCAATGGCAGCAAAACCGTGGAGATGGTCCTGTAATAGAAAGTCATAACCTAGCAGGCACCTATAATTTGACCTTTTAATTGGTCAGTAATGGTCTTGTGCAAATGTGTGTGTGTGTGTGTGTAATGAAGTCCTAACCACCCAGGCAAAGGGACTGTCTCGTCTGTGACATGTATGCCAGTGCTGGGAGCTGCAGTGGAATGCAAGTGTCCATTGACAGGATGCTGATAAGAATGGGTAGAGATGACAGGGATGATGGCATGCTAACTCCAAGTATCCGTTTTCCATGAAGAGATTAGCATTTTCGAGTCCATAATTCTGCATCGGCTACTTGAGTTTCCCAGATGTGTGTTTCACATCACTGCCTAGTATTTCCCCGTCTTTGTTTTCCATTTCTCTCAGCTTTCCTATGTGGATTCGGACGGCAATCCCATCGGGGTGGTGCAGATGACTTTCCTGAGGCTCTTGAGTGCCTCCGCAAACCAGAACATCACCTATAATTGCTACCAGTCTGTAGCATGGCAGGATGCCACCACGGGCAGCTACGACAAAGCCATCCGCTTCCTGGGCTCCAACGACGAGGAGATGTCCTACGACAACAACCCTTACATAAGGGCTGTCCTAGACGGTTGTGCAGTAAGTATACACGCTGACAGAGTTAGGCATAGGAGGAGCTTCTACACACAAAGCAGAGTCAGTCTGGTTTAGTAACTAGACCTGGGGGGGTGTCAGTCAAGACTCAGGGCTTTTTCTTCCCTAGCTCTGCCACTTACTCCGTGTAGGATTTTGGGGGAAGTCACTTCAAAAATTTTCAAGTGTCCCGTGATTTTGGGTACTTCCGTTTTTGGGTTCCCAACTCGGAAGACTTGGGGCCTGATGTTTTAGAGGTGCTGAGAAGTTAGTTTCCACTGTCTTCAAAGGATTGCGTTACCGTGCACCTCTACTGCATGACTTCATTCTTGAAATTGACAAAGGAGCTAGGAAGTGAGGGTTCAGTTTGCTCAATGCTTGCAGCCTTTCCCCTGGTTATAGGGCAATCATACACAAGGCCTAATCCCATAGGAAGGATGGTTCTAGTGGTTGGGGCACTAGCCTGGGACATATAAGACTTAGGTTCAGTTCCCTGCTCTATCATGGGCTCCCTGTGTGACCAGCAACAAGTTTCTCTGGATGTCAGTATCCCATCTGTAAAATGGGGATAATAGCACGGCCCTACCCTGTAGGTAAATAAAAGATTGTGAGGTGTTCCAAAACTATTTTAGTAAGGACCATTGAAGTACCTTGGAGAGAGAGAGATTATGGAGGCAAAACTTCCACCCGAGACAAGAATTGTACATATAGGTGCCCACAAAAATAGCACACACCTTGCCTGCATTTGTACGTAAGCAGGTATTGGTGCAAGTAAATTGAATTGTGATTCACCCAGATGTAGGTATGCCGTTTTGCCATTTGTGCAGGTAATTGTGGGATTTTGCTTTCACATATTTTGCAGGCTCATCTTAGATTCTAAGGGTCTGATTTTCAAGAGTTCAGGGCCAGATTTTTAAGTTTCACTACCCATAATTCAGGCCAAATTTTTAAAAATGCTCAGCTCTACCTTTTGTAGCTAAATAAGGGCCAGATTTTCAAAGATTTAACCATCCTGTATTTCTGAACCTAACTGGGCGCTGAGCTCTTCTGAAAATCTGGAATCTAGTTTTGGGCACTGAACCGCTCTGAAAATTGTAGCTATCTGTCTGAAAAATTGGTGTAATGTTTGCCAGTTCAGTTCATGCTAGGACCCAGTTTCTTAAAACTTGGAAATATGCAAAACCTCTCCTTCTTCTGAAGCTGGGATGGTCAAAATCCACAGGACTAAAAGAAAAAAAGAAAATATTGCGATGTCTCAGGGAGCGAACCCTTAATAGAATTTAAGAGATTAAGTCGAACTCCGTTCGGAAGCCGGAGTGTTTTTGCTATAGAAGCACTGAGGGAAAATTCAATTAGTCACTAATTCTCTTAATGCTGCTGCAGAGAGATGAAGAGTGCTCATCCCATAGCTGAAAACACTCAGAAGCCACGTGGGGAAGTTTATTCTCAAGTATTTCATATCTCTTGACAATATGATGTGCCTTAGAAAAGTCACCCCCTATCTCACCTTTCCATACTAAATCTCAGGGAAACTGGAAGATCACGCATCCCAGATTTAAAAGCCGATATGCTTGATGAAAAACATTACAGTTAAAAATTATTTTGCTCAGGCATCCAACATTTTCTACATTTCTTTTCCCTTGTTCTTTCTGTAGCTATGGATATTTGCAGGAAAACAGCCCTCTTAAGAGTTTATTTGCTTCTGTTGTTGTTGGTTACCAGAAACTGTAACATAACCTGTTATTAGAGCAATCAGTTTGGATGTCACAAACAGTGTGGATGTCACAAACAGAAGAATATGGGGCTGAATAAACAGCAAAAGCACAAGGGATTGTGACTGGTGGCTATCGCTACCACTGCAGTAGCACCTAGAGTCTCTGAATGAGATTGGGGATTTATTGTGCTAGCCACTACACAGACAGTAAGAGACACTCACTGGCCCAAAGAGCTTACAGTCTAAATAGACAAATTGTGGAAAATGAAATGGGCACAGAGACGTAAAGTGACTTGCCCAAGGTCATAAAGCAAGACAGTTGCAGAGTCAGGAATAGAACCTGAGTCTTCTGAATCCCAGGCCTATGGCCTATCCATTAGACCACACTGCCCTCGAGAGATGGGTCTGCAAAGGTTATTTCTCCGATTAAAATGTGCTATGCTACCATACTTGAAAATAGTGCACAAAAGAGAAACTATTCAAAACAGAATGGGCCGGATCCTGAGCCGGTGTATATCGCCAGGCTCCACTGACTTCAATGAGACTATGCCGGTTTACTCCAACCAGGCGCCTGGCCCCATTATTTCTTTTCAGTTTCCCAGGCTGCAGCTATAGCAAAGATTATGATAACATGTTATTTATTACTTGTACCGGGCCCAGAGATGTGCTAGGCTCCAGGCAGATTGGGCGGACATGGCCCCGGCCTAGGGTGACCAGACAGCACGTGTAAAAAATCAGGACGGGGTGGGGGGTAATAGGTGCCTATATAAGAAAAAGCCCCCAAAATTGGGACTGTCCCTATAAAATGGGACATCTGGTCACCCTACCCCGCCCCACTCTAAATGTACGCCTACACTTACGGAGGCATGAAGGATATGGACACTGCACGCCCAAGTAGCACAGGTATAACTGGGAGCATAGACCGTGAGGCAGAGCTCAGGTAAATAGAGTAGCGTGGCCTACACGCCTGACACCCCTCCCCCCCCAGAGTATGGACCCCTATAGGGCTCTCTACGCGCCCAAACAATGCCTCCTACGTCCATGCTGCTATTTTTAGTAGTGTAGAGTTCTGCTGCCTCCTTCCTGCCAAAGCCTTCCCTCACCCACCGGCGTGAAAGTCTCTGGCAGCAGGGAGCTCCCAGAGCTTTTCCCCATTGCCTTCCCCCTGCTAGATCCTTTCACTGTGGCGTGGAGCTGCACATGTCGTGCCTGAGCCCTGTGTGCTGCCCTGTAGACGTAGACTGTTGGTCTGGATTGGGTGAATTTGCTTAGTCTTCATGAGCCGGGCTTGGGAATGTCACTCCTCCTCTGCAACATCCACCATTTCCAAATCCATCAGTCGGAACCCAAGTGCTGCGGCTGCTACTCAGCCACTCGTGTCAGAGCCAGCCCGTCCCTGGATCGCTCCGGGTGCAGGGAGCCAGGACACGGTCTACGCACCTGTGAGGCTTTAAATGGTGCATGAACTTGTGGTCATCTTCTGCACAGGGTGAATTTCATCCTGCACAGCGCTGGGCACCCTCAATGCACATTGGTATCATTGGGAGTTGAGGGCACTCAGTTCCTTGCAGAAACAAGCCATAGGTTTACTAAGGCAAAGCTCCCAAGTTCTTCAATACAATTTTTGCCAGAGTTAGGCCATCAAGGATTGGGTCATCGCGTTGGAATGATAATGGCCATCTAACCAATGTAGCACTGCTGCAGAGTTCCTGTGGAAGTTGATCAAATGCACACTCCTGCCATGATTCATTCTGTTACAGCGAACACCAAAGGAATTACAGTGCTAATGTTTGGGCCATTATTTGAATGTGTTTTCACTGGTCTTATAGCCCTTTTTTGGTTCCTGTGATATAGCCTGTCCTTCCGAGACACACAAATCAGAGGGTACGGTAAAGCAAAAAAAAAAGCCCTTCCATAAATTCACTTATTAGTGCAGTTTTGTATGCCCGTGGGTGCACTTCTGCTCCTCTAATAATTATTTATATTTCAGAAATAACTGTATGGCCAGCAGGCATGATAAAAAGACAACATCACCTTGCCAATTCCATCCAACTTTAAATGTGGTCTTTTTTGTAGAGCTTGGATAATAGTCAAACTAATACATTTAAATTAAATTGCACACATTTGCTCAACAACCCATGAGCCTCCTCAGGGAGGTAAAACAACAATACTGCAGCCACAACCATTTTACTAGTCTCCTGTCCCAGCCCTGGTACGTGCTGAAGACTGGGTTAACATCTCCGCATGTACTCAGCAGTGCTTATGCTTCTCCAGAGGCCTGTCTGGTTACAGTAACCTCTCCCCATTTTTGTTGAATGGTAATGAATCATCCCATACAATTGTGTGTGTCATGGACAGTGGAATATATATGGTCAGGGTAGGGGTCATTATATTAATGAGTCTTGTAGCTGATGAATAGCCTGACACTTTTTCCTTTTATAACGTGCTTGGTTTAACATCTGTACAAATAATCCACAGCACAACTGCAAAGAATCCATTCAGTCTGGCCAAGGTTTTTGAAACTGGGTGCCTCCATTTTTGGATAACCAACAAGGATGCTCAACCCTTTCTGAAAATCAGGTCCCTTTAAGGTTTCTTTAGTGGGACCTCCCAAAAATTGAGGCACAGAATCATTAGTCACGTCTGAAAATCTTGGCCTCTGAAGCAATGTTCACTACTTTGTTTTTCACTTTATGTATCATCCAAATTCCCAGTTTCCCCCTATGTTAACCATTCCTTCTCACTTCCTATTTTAACCTCTACGCTTTTCCAGTGCTGGATGAGGCAACCTTCATGCTTCTTTCTGGCCTGCAGTAGAGAGATCCTAACTAGAGCTGGTCAAAACTTGGAATTCCCAGTTTGTGTGAAATTTTGTCACTTTGAAATTTATTTTCACTCCATTGTGAAACAAATCCCAAATAGTTTTGAAATTTCCCATAAACCAAAAACTCTGGGGGGGAAAACTTGTTTAAAAAAAAATTCATTTTGAAATTTCAGATTTCAGAATTACAATTTGAGTTTTATGGCTTTTTTTGTTGTTTATATTTTTATT